GTCCCGATCTAATATGATGGAAAAGCTCTTTCCGTGATTTGGGATGTACAGAATGGATGGGAATGCGGGGCACGCGAACGCTCGGTTAACAAGCTTCAACGATCCTCTCAGAATGTCATTGCTAACAAAATGTTTTCTGAAAGAAATACTGTTGTGTGACATATGCACAAGACATTTATATTTGCATTTCTGCACTCATATATTAAATTCTCTGATTAATCTTAACACTATATTTATCCATTTTCTCTTTTATAGATATATGAATTTAACAAGAAAATGTGTTTAAAAAATGCGATGCCGAAGATTCTATCAACAGCCTAAAATAATTTCTAGCAGTAAAGTTATACCTTTCACTTTTTCAAGACTTTATTACCATATATCTTCGTAAATTTTGCTCCATGTAATTTTCTGACTATTCAGATAAAAAAATCTTAAACGTACAATTTTCTGTCTCTCTCTCTCTCTTGGACATATTTACTTAAGATCAAACGCTTGAGGGCGCTGTGAAATCAGTGGAAATAATGAGCCTAATCACTAGGTTCTCTAATCCTCCTTGCGGCTGTCAACTTACTGACGAACAGATCTTTCACCTGTCCTTTCACTTTAACCTAATTTGTTCAGGACCCCCGGGATTTCAGCAGCTTTCATGTTGTATGCGTTATTTGTATGTATCCAACATTTCTGTCAGGCCAATTACATCAACAAATAAGTTCCATTATCAACTAATTAGGAACATAAATGCTCGCGATGCGACGTCGACACGAGACGAAAAGTGGTTTCGGACGCTCAATTAGTAGTTTGAAAGGAAAGATAGTTAGATAATTAGAGAGCGAAGAGAAATGAAGCTATTATTTTGGACCGTATTAGATTGATAATTTTACCTGGGAATTAACTCAGGTGTTGTATTAAGGCTTATGGAATTGGATTTGAGATACTCAATACAGTTTTGTATGGAACCTACGCTATTAGAAGTACCAGGATCCACTGTTAAAGAACATATCGACTTTACCTTGCGGGCAATCCCGAACGTATCAAATCAGATCACTGCTGTATAATTACAGCCAATTTATAATTTTTGTAATTTGGCGTAAAACATTTTAGGTGACCGTTAGAGAGGATAATTTTCAGACGTTGGTACTTTCTAGTTTGTAGCTATTTAAGAAACTTAAGAACTTTAAAAGATTTATCAGGATTGAAAGTTTAAAATGTTACAAATTCAATCATTACATTACTTGTAGTGATAAACAATGAACTAATTTTAATCAACTTGGTTTCCATACATTATGCTTGCAGGGAAAATGTGAGATATATGATTATGAAATGAGAAGCGAAAATGTTTATCCCTTCTAAACTTTCATAATGTTTTTCAGCATTTTTTCTAAGTACAAATTGCTCTTCTGCCATATTCCCTAATTTTCCAACTACCATGTTTTCATTCCACCATTCTTTTGTTTTCCCGTCATTTTACTCTGTGGACATTTTCCTGTATCCATCATGTTTCCCCGTTTCCCTGTGATACTTTCTTTATCATACTACCAACCTTTGTCCTTGTACGTTGTCCGTCATCCTGTTAACAAACTTGTTTCATATTCCCTGTTCATGCTATCATATTTTTCATACTCGTTTTTATTCTTCCTTTATGTTTCTCGTCGACATTTTCACGCCAAAGTGTTGCATATTACATATTACCATTTGTCCTTCAAACATGTTTTCCGTCGACATAACCTTGTCAACCTGTCCTTTATTAATATTTTCCAGATTTCATATAATTTATCCTTGTTCCGTAATAAGTCCATGGCATCATTTTTTTTTTAAATTTTCTTACTCTTATTTTTGCAATCATGGTTTCATATCATTATGTATTTCAATAATTACTTACATCATGACAACACGTAATGTCTATTACTTATATGAGCCGTGTCACGACAAAACCACCATAGTGCGTTTGCGACCAGCATGGATCCAGACCAGCATGCGCATCCGCGCAGTCTGATCAGGATCCATGCTGTTCGCTTACCAACTCTATTACAAGTAGAGAAACTGATAGCGAACAGCATGGATCCTGATCAGACTGCGCGGATGTGCAGGCTGGTCTGGATCCATGCTGGTCGCAAACGCACTATGTTGGTTTTGTTATGACGCGGCTCAGTTACGATATATTCATCTTCAACTAAGCCCACACCTTCATATGTATGTTGATAATTTGATATTTATTTTGTGTGTTTTAATGGTGTTTTTAAGCGTCTTATAACGACCCAAGGGAAGTATATCCTTCCGATATAACATGATACATTCACAGAATATACGTTAGGCTTTTAAGAGAGATATTTTGTTTTAACTATAACATATTTTGGCGTGTGAAAATTTATCCTTTCGCTATAAAGGGTATATTTTTAAATACCATGTCATCAGCTGAATTATTAGTAATGGGACTTCTAACACTGGATTTCCAAAAGTAATTTCTTTTCGTCACACCGGGTCTGTGAAGGTCATATGGCGTGTGAAAATGAAGACCCAATGTTCTCCTCCATCCATTATTTAATACATCAGCGGGGACCTTGATAGAAGTTGAATAATGTTTGTATATAACAGATAAAGACATAATCTTATGTAATTGAATAAGCAAAAAGCAGATCTTTGTCACTTTTTGTTCGCGTTTATTATAAAAAAATCTGAACTATAAACAAATCTTTCATAGAAATAGGGTTATAAAAATCAGTTTCATAGATTATCTAAAATGTATAACGATATTGTGGGATACAGGAGTGGTTTAATGGTGGTACTGAAACCTTAAGACATTCAATGTTCAGTACTTCGATCTAGAAGAGTCAATGAGAAATAAATGAAGACGGTCGTTCCGTATTCTGTAGGCCGGGTTAATTCTAAACATATAAAGAAGTCACTCAATCCTAATAAAATGAAATCTTTTTGTGTTTCCTATTTCGTCGAAAATAATTACTTGATACCTAGACAGGACTTTTTTCCATTTTGGATAACGTATAAATCCAAGGCACTCCGAATTGTAAACAGACGTAATGTTTTACGGTTGACATTCATTTACTGAGAAAAGGCGACATAAAACAGTAGCTCGTTCCTAGCTTTTGGTTTATCCATTAATAGAAGGTTATAGCTTGTTGTACATTATAAGGAATCCTGTCATTTTATGTTATAACATCCCGAATAGTTTTTTCATGTATCTTAGTATAATGGTTTGAGAGGCTGAGATATTAAATTTCGATTTAATACTGAATATAATTTTGACTATTTCAAATATGTCAATTTATAAAACGCTGTGAATAAAGCGATAGCTTTGATTTTTTTCCATCTTTTTTATGAAAAATGTTCACTGTAGAAATATGATAGAAAAGACCTGATTTTAAAACGATGGGATATGCAATTTCATACATATATGTAGCTAGTGTGAACAAAGTGCTCATTTTCTGAGCGGTGAAAGGACAAAAATAACAAGTTTAGTATTAAATGGCAGATCAATGGAAATTTTCTGTAAACTAGTCTCGGATGTCCCCAGACTCCGTTCCCATCCCAAATCGAATTATGATAGAAAATTAGCGTCCGTCGCACGTTATACGGGCAATGATCAGAATTTAAATCTGTTCGTAGAGCGTTTTCCGCGTGTTTTTCTCCGTCCTGTGGAAGCTTGCGGGAATGAATACTTTTCCCTCATTACAAAAATGTTTCCGCTCATTACATAGCTGTACATTATGAATTACTGGGAGACTTTCGGCTCTTTACAGATGTTGACAATTTTTTACATGTATAAAAGAGCAACATTCAAAATCTTCTATTGCCATTACTGTCATTTAACTTATTTTGATTGGTTATATATCGATCAAAATGTGAAAGTAAGAAGATGTCTATAAAATAAATTTTAAAAGCATGTTGAGACTTCTAAATATATATCAAGCAAAATATTGTGTTTATCAACCTGTTGATGCAGATGCTCGTACCTTATTGTTTTTCAAACTTATATATATGAAATCTTATATAGTAATAATCGTCAAACATAAAACTCCTGAGAACTAACATAATTATATTAGTTACAAATTTTAAGCTTAAAAATTCATAATCGCATTAATTCATTATCTATGATGTTAAAGTCATGCTTAAGGAACATTATTATTTAGCTTACTTTATGTTCTAAATTTTTTAGATTTCCTGAATATATAATGGGAATATTATTACATCCATGCTTATAATAGTTGGTGTCTAATCAATTTTATATGTGTTTTCAGAGATATAAAACGTGTTTAGACTGATATAACTGCCCATTTCGACTGTATCGAATTCTCGATTGTATCACTGTATTTGAACATATAGATATTTTGTTACATGTTACATAAATATTGTAGTTGAACTATTCAACAGTTTCCAGAGATTCAGCAGTTTAACTCCTCGTCATGCAGTATCGAAGGTTGAAAGGTTTTGCTGTCGTTTTCAAGACACTCTTTCATCAAAGACAGTTTATAGTAGATGCCTGAAACAAATTCACATATTTCAACGTTCGCCTTCATTATTGACAAAACAATGACAATAATGATAATTAAACACATCCTTTAATCTCGAGCGCCTCATAGTCCCGCGCGCGTGTTCTGGCAATTAATAACTTGAACATTGCCACCGGCATTTGTGATTTAATAAAATCAAAAGCTCCCAAAGCCCTGTTAACGCTCAATGAACGGAAACTTTGATGAAATAGCTGTGCACATTTTATATGTGTTTGAAAACATACAGGAAGTTAAATGATCAACAACATTGTTATTCAATATACATATAATATACATGTATATACAGATCAGACAATGTGACATCATGTATAACTGAATCCTGACTTCATACATCGAGATTGTTCCAATATGAATTTTGTAAAATATCTGACAGACGTTCATCTAATTTTCGTCAGTCGTAACATTCTTTGTTTGACCATTTGAATTTGATATAACTTGATACATGTCATAATGATGATTATTTTATATTTACAGTGTGAGCAGTCAAATGTTGACCATGTGAAGGAATATAAGCGTGTAGCGATTGTCGAGGAATTCTTTGACATCATCTACAGTGTACATGTTGAGATGGATGGAAGAGGTGGCAAACATGCCGGTCAAAAGAGAACATATAGAGCTGTAAGTTCTCGTCGCATCCTTCGCATTTATTTTTAATTTTTGCTGAAGATAAAAAAAACGCATTTAAGGATAATGAAGTGTTTGATTATCGTAAATATATACAGTCTCCAAATTCCAAACCAAAATATCTAAAAACACCTCGTCATTGAAAGAAGTCGTAGAGGTTTTCATGATCTTGTTATTGTAAAAAATATGTTAAATTTGTTATAATATTAATATGAATATGAATCCTTAACTCATTATAATTTACGGATTGTGATTTTCAAAGGGGGAAGAACCTAATATAAACTATGGAACTTTGGTTAAAAGAGTTGCCTCTCTTAGAAGAAATAAACGGCGAATAACTGATAACTTATTTGGACATCACCATCAACCCGATGATGATGATGATGATGATGATGATTATAATTATTATCGTCGTCGTCACTACGTCATCGGCCTCAGCGTCGCTGTCATCGGTGTTGTTATCATTAAAGTTTTCGTTATATTTCAGATAGCAGAAACATATTCATTTTTGCCACGCGAAGCGGTGACAAGATTTCTAATGGCCTGTGCCGACTGTCAAAAACGAATGCATATAGGATCTGACGTATCACCAAAACACAACAACAATAACAACAATATAGATAAATCGCTGGTTCCCCGCATGAATAACATAGCAGGACAACAGCCTCAGTTTATTGACTATAGGTAAAATAAACGGGTTATATTTACTCATTTCTACCATTTTTTATAAAATATAATCAACATTTTACATATACATGTATCTAACAACAATTAACTGTCATAGATAACAAACCCCACATTGTAGTTCAGGCTTACTTGTATATTGTCTTTGTTATCTATAGAAACAACAACAATGCAACAGGAAAGGAGAATGAGTTTGACTTTTAAATAATGTAACTTTGATCAGATTTGTTCATCAATGTTCACATAGATAATCTTTGATCAGGATTAGGTCTTCTCGACACAATTGTCAAAGCGGCACATGAAAACCTTTTGAAAACTATATTTTTGTCACTTACAACGGTATACATAGCGTATACAAAGAACGACAACCATTCTATTTAAATGCGTTTTTCTTTTCAGCGTACCGATAACTCAGACATATCTAAATCACATGCGAAATAACGGTTATCTCCCTTCCCACGACTATATGGTCGACGAGGTACAAAGTTTATCATCGCATGTTGATGTTGTTCTTGCACGTTTATTGTGTTGTTTCACAATGTTTAACTATCTGTTTAACAAACACATTTCTAGTATCAACCTTTTCCTGAATTCCAACTAAAAAGAAAAACGCAGTATACTAGTACTTAAACGTAAATTCCGGACCCTAGTTCTTTCCTGGATTCTTATCATAATAACCACAATTTACTTACATGATTTTTTTTCCTTATTTTAATAGTGATATTTTCCTTATATTATTTTTGAAACATATTACTTTAAAATACATCGATATCTGTATTTATTAGCTGATAAGGAAAAGTGCCAGGAAGACTTACGCTTCTTTCATGTATTTGGTTTGTGAAGGAAGTTACAAATTGTTGGTTTGTTTGGTTAGTTAAAAAGCCATGTTGTCTTTAATAGTGTTATTGTGATTTCGTTAACATATGTCGGAAATTTTATTTCACATTTAAAGTAATGATATCGACTAATCTATAAACTTTCAAAAATGACATGTTCATCACCGTGACAGGGGATCAATAAAAGCCATATTTCTTTGTTTTATTGTTGCCTCTTTACCCCTCTGTACATGGAACAATGGCCGGTATAAAGTAATAAATAATTCTTAATGAGCAGAACATAGGCAATTTGTATCCGTTTTTAAATTTTATTGAGTTACAACCAATACACCTGACCTGAATCATTTATATGTAAGTATGATAGACGTTTCCCCGGGGCTCGGACTCGTATATCATGCTGTTGTTTTTTTTTTGACAGTATTGTACGTCAGACGTTATCCTGGGGCTCGGACTTTTATACCATGCTGTTGTTTTTTGTGATAGTACTGTGAGTTAAACGCTATCCGGGAGGGGGGGGGGGGGTCTCGGGTTGGTAAACCACGCTGTTTTTTTGTGACAATATTGTACATTAGACTTTATCCCGGTGCTCGGGCTTGTATACCACGCTGTTTTTGTGACAGTATTGTACATTAGTCTTTACTCTGGGGCTCGGTTGGTATACCAAGCTGGTTTTTCGTGACATTAGACTTTATCCCGGTGTTCGGGCTTTATACCACACTGTTGTTTTTGTGACAGTATTGTACATTAGACTTTTTTGTGACAGTATTGTACATTAGACTTTATCCCGGGGGCTCGGACTTGTATACCACGGTGGTTTTGTGACAGTAGTGTACATTAGACTTTATCCCGGGGGCTCGGACTTGTATACCACGCTGTTTTTTGTGACAGTATTGTACATTAGACTTTATCCTGGGGGCTCGGGCTTGTATACCACGCTGCTTTTTGTGACAGTATTGTACATTAGACATTATCCTGTGGGCTCGAGCTTGTATACCACTCTGTATTTTGTGACAGTATTGTACATTAGACTTTATCCTGCGGGGCTCGGGCTTGTATACCACGCTGCTTTTTGTGACAGTATTGTACATTAGACATTATCCTGTGGGCTCGGCTTGTATACCACATTATTTTTGTGACAGTAGTGTACATTAGACTTTTATCCCGGGGGCTCGGGCTTGTATACCACGCTGTTTTTTGTGACAGTATTGTACATTAGACATTATCCTGTGGGCTCGGGCTTGTATACCACATTATTTTTTGTGACAGTAGTATACATTAGACTTTATCCTGGGGGCTCGAGCTTGTATACCACGCTGGTTTTTGTGACAGTAGTGTACATTAGACTTTATCCCGGGGGCTCGGACTTGTATACCACGCTGTTTTTTGTGACAGTATTGTACATTAGACTTTATCCTGGGGGCTCGGGCTTGTCTACCACGCTGCTTTTTGTGACAGTATTGTACATTAGACATTATCCTGTGGGCTCGGGCTTGTATACTACGCTGTTTTTGTGACAGTAGTTATCCCGGGGCTCAGGCTTGTATACCATGTTATTGTTTGTGACAGTATTGTACATTAGATTTTATCCCGGGGCTCGGGCTGGTATACCATGCAGGTTTTTTTGTGTGTGACAGTATTGTACGTTATGCATTATCCTGGGGGATTCAGGCTGCTATACCATGCTGTTTTTGTGTGTGACAGTATTGTACGGAAGTCGTTATCCTAGGACTCGGGCTGGTATACCAGGCTGTTTTTTTTTTTTGGTATATGGACAGTATTACATGCATATGTAAGAGGTAATCTTGGGGCTCAGGGTGATATATAATGTTATTTTGTGAGAATTTATCCCGGGACACGTGTCGGTATACCATGTTTTTGTGACAGTATTGTATGTGAAACGTTATCCCGGGACCCAGGCTGGTAAACCACTGTGCACATGAGACGTTATACCGGGACTCGGGCTGGTAAACCACTGTGTAAATGAGACGTTATTCCGGGACTCGGGCTGGTACACCACAGTGTTTAAGTGCCTTATTAGTCAATCAATTATATGAAGGCAGCATCTCAATAAAATTAGCGTGATCCTCCAAACAGTGTATCAATTTAATGGCATATTTCTAAGGTATGGTAATATTGTCGCCGTCACACATGACATTTCATTTATTAGATGTGAGTTTTTGTCAAACTCCCCGGATAATTTCCTTTCATTGCCTGAATATAAGACGAAAATCAATATCGTTTGTTCAGTGATACTTCCCCCTCCCCATTTTGAGAATCAGTTCATTCTCTTTAAATTTACCTGGACTAATAATCGATACCGCAAAATTCGGCTGCGAGCGCTAATTTGAATGCTGCGACCTCTTGAAATAAAATGCTTACGTAGTAACAAGACGCCAGTGCCGCTTTATTACCTGCTCAAAAATCAATATACAAATTTCGGCTGCGGAGAATAATTATTTGCCAGTTCACTCCTTTTACCTGTATGAAAATCAATACGTACATAAATTTTGGTGACAGAGAACCACTTTTTTGAAATCATTTGATACATCAGGATCACGCGTTGTTCTGTTTTGTGCGCGTACCTGGACAAAAATCAATAACGAAAATTTCGGTGGCTGCTCTCAATGCGGAATGCCTCGGTATTGATCGATGTCATTATCTAGTATTTGAAAATATTGTACCTGTGACAGGGGTGACTTAATGCTCTTATTTCAATGCGAGATCAATAGTGCCCTCTGCTGTATTTGATGGGTGTCTTGAAATACTTTTGGCGTGACTTTAGAGAGAAAGATATATAGTTTGAGAAACTAAGACATCTAGACATGCGACATAACAGTTTATGTCTAGAAATACCGCAATATTACAATAAGAATTTATTCACCCCCACCCCTGTAAAGTTATACATATGTAGTATCTTAAAATGTTCACAAGATCGTCATTTTGGACTTTTAATAATAAATTTCTTCATGTTTTTTTTGGTTAATTTAATATTTAAGATTATTAGTCATTTATCGCAACACTTCATTTATTAGTTTACTACATATTAATATGTTAGACACATTGTGAAGACTGACAGACTTTCTAAATGTCCTCACAAGTGAGAAACACGTCACGTTACAGTGTATTGTTATATTGTCATAGATCTAAGGTCGAGGAATCTAATCGCTGAAATACTTTGTAAATCTCCCATTTACGTATATTTACAATAATCTTTTGTTAATATTTCTGCGTGACACATTGAAAAAAAAAGTTTGCAATTTCCTTGCACGCGCCTGGATCAAGCTGAAAGTTTAAGAAGCTTTTAAAACCTGTACCCGTATCGACACGCGTTTTATGGAATCATAACTCCCAGAGGGTAACATTGTTCTCGAACAATCCATACCCAGCATGGCGCTTCGATGCTTTTCAAGTTCCACATGATGAAAGTCTGTATAGTGTTGTACGAAGGTGTGTGCTTATATTATTCGGGGGGAACTAATCTCAGGCTTCAGTAATTTTTCTGGTCGATACTTGCTTAACTTCAAATAGACTAAATTTAGCCTGTTGGTCCAGAGATTTGCCTCTTGTCACTGCGGTTACTTAGCAACGGAGACGTCCGCGTGATTTGGAATGACGAGAAAACCCCTGTATCTGATTTTTGAGAGTTTATGAAGTGTCGTCTGGTCATTTACACGCTTGTATCGAGCACATTATCTTCCCCGCTCTAATAAATGGAAATGACAGATTGATATAGCCGATGTTAGCTTTACCCCTGAAATATTCAACAACTAAAATTATCCTTCCAGAGACTGCCTTCTCTTACTCTGTTATTATTCATGCAAACATTGTTATTCAAGATTCAAATTGACTGTCAGTATTCATGTGCAGTAACAAAAATATTGAATTTATTCTGATTATTATATAACCCAGACATTAAGCTACTGTTATAGATTTGGAAATAAGCTAGGAGCCAACATCTTTTACTGGTTCAGGGCAATAGTGTGCCAGACGCAAAATAAAACTTAGGTCTCATTCTACTCGGACTTTTTATAGTTATTTTTTTTACAATCCGTCCTTTTTATCTTGCCGTGATTCATTCCCTGGAAAAATATTTAAAACAAAAAATCTACCGTGTCCGCATGTAAACGCCTGAAATAGCGCAAGTCAGAACCGGAAGTGTCTTAAGATCGAGACTGTGTCGATAAACTTAAATTTAACACAATGATTATTAAGAAATACAATTTAGGGGTTTTTTTTCTGTGTTGGTGTTTAAGTGACGAGTGAAAATTAGATGTTCATCTCGGAATCAATAGATGAACTAATTTTCTATATTCCCTCGGGCGTTCACCGTTTATAAAAACACGGTTATAATTGTATGTCGTTTTGTACAAAATGTCCAATATTTCATATATCCCCCTATAACTCTCGCAGCTTTAAATTGTTTAAACCCGTCACGGCAAATGAGCTTATTACTAAGTTATTTTCACGCATGCTCCGAGAACCGATTTTTTCGGCTAGCTTCACTCTTTTTTTGGATGCTGAGCTTTTCAAAGGTCACGTGATACCGTTAACGTTGTGAACAACAGCTTGTTCGCACCCATATTCGGCATTTTTATCTAATTGTCTGATAATTTACGTACGGAGAGTTTTTCATAGTTAAAAT